TGCTCCGAGGTGGGTAGGGGGTGGAAACCAAGTAACGGTGCTCGGAGGTGGGTAGGGGGTGGAACCAAGGAACAGTGCTCAGAGGTGGGTAGGGGTTGAACCAAGGAACGGTGCTCGGATGCTAAAGGGTAGGGTGGTGGAACCAAGGACGGTGCTCGGAGGTGGGTAGGGGGGGCGGAACCAAGGAACGGTGCTCGGAGGTGGGTAGGGGGCGGCGGAACCAAGGAACGGGTGCTCGAAGGTGGGTAGGGTTGGAACCAAGGAACGGTGCTCAGGAGGTGGGTAGGGGTGGAACCAAGGAACGGTGCTCGGAGGTGGGTAGATAGTAATACAAAGGGGAACCAAGGAACGATGCTCAGAGGTGGGTAGGGGTGGAACCAAGGAACGGTGCTGGAGGTGGGTCAAGCGGGTGGAACCAAGGAACGGTGCGGAGGGGGTGGGGTGGAACCAAGGAACGGTGCTGCTCGGAGGTGGGTAGCGGTGGGTGGAACCAAGGAACGGTGCTCGGAGGTGGGTACGGGTGGAACCAAGGAACAGTGCTCGAAGGTGACCAGGGTAGGGGGTGGAACCAAGGAACGGTGCTCGGAGGTGGGTAGCCTGGAACCAAGGAACGGTGCTCGGAGGTGGGTAGGGGGTCAGGAACAAGGAACGGTGCTAAAAGATTTGTGTGGGTAGCGGGTGGAACCAAGGAACGGTGCTCGGAGGTGGGTAGGGGGTGGAACCAAGGAACGGTGCTCGGAGGTGGGTAGGGGGGGGTGGAACCAAGGAACGGAGTGCTCGAGGAGGTGGGTAGGGGGTGGAACCAAGGAACGGTGCTCGGAGGTGGGTAGTGCGGGTGGAACCAAGGAACGGTGCTCGGAGGTGGGTAAGGGGGGAACCAAGGAACAGTGCTCGGAGGTGGGTAGGGGGTGGAACCAAGGAACGGTGCTTGTAGGTGGGTAGCGGGTGAAACCAAGGATTGGTGCTTGGAGGTGGGTAGGGGGGTTGAAACCAAGGAATGGTGTTCGGCAATGAGGTGGGTGGGGGGTAGTAATACCCTTTACTACAACTTAAACACCAATTTCAAGATGGAAAAGTGGTAAATCACTAGAGCTCCAATCAGAAACAAAAAGTTCCTATAAAAGATAAACAATAATGACAAAAAGACCTTAATAAAAGGTCCATATAACTAAAGATAATTGTACCAAACACAAATGAGCACTAAATATACATAGTAATCCTGGGGTTCCTGAGCACAAGTGCGTTGATGGAACTGATGGATCTAACATGGAGGTTTCAGAGCCTCTTGATGTAATTGTCCCAGCAGGTTACCAGCTGACCTCCTGGCCGGGAAAGGTAACAGATATAGAAAAATATCTAATACATTTATAATAGATATATATAATATAGAACATATCTATACGTTTCCTTTCTTTGGATGGCAAGTCAAGTGGTGAGGACATCTCTGCATCAGACATACAATGACTGTGATATCGCCTCCAAGTCAGGTGTCAGTCAGTTCTTCAAGGCTTGACATCTCTTATGTCTTGGAGGGACACTTCTTTAAGGTGGGATTGGAGGGTGAACCTTCTGTGTGCTGCTCTCCCCAGACTCCCCCCCCCCCTAATAATTACCTGAGCCCAATCTCCATCCAGCGATGTGCATGAGAGCAGCAGCTCTCTTGGCTCTCTCCTTCCTCATTGGCTCAGAGACAGCAGTGGGAGCCATTGGCTCCCACTGCTTTCAATCACAGCCAGTGAGGAGAGAGTAGGGGTGGGACCGAGCTGCGCTCTGTGTGTCGAGCGGGAACTTTGAAAATCTGGAGTTCTGCCTTAATGCTGATTTCACACGACTGCAGCTCCTGCCTGTGATCCGGGCATTAGGACAGCTCCACACATAACTAAAAGTGGAACTACACTGTGTCTGAGCACCACAAAACTGGAAACTCCATTTCATTCATTTTTAATATTCAAAAAAAGCAAACTTCCCCATCCATCCATCCATCCATCCATTTCTCCATCTATCCATCCATCCATGTCTCCAACTATCCATCCATCCATCCATCCATTTCTCCATCCATCTTTCCATCCATCCATGTCTCCTACTATCCATCCATTTCCCCATCCATCCATCCATCCATCCATGTCTCCAACTATCCATCCATGTCTCCAACTATCCATCCATCCATCCATCCATTTCCCCATCTATCCATCCACGTCACCAACTATCCATTAATCCATTTCTCCATCTATCCATCCATTTTGCCCTCCATCCATGTCTCCATCCATCCATCCATCCATGTCTCCATGCCTTATATTGAAGAGAAATCACTTTAAAAAAAAACACACCCTAGCTTTTCTTGCTGCGGCCATCTTGAGTAACCCACATGAAAAAAAAAAAATGTATTTGAAATAATATTTTAAAAATATTCTTCCCAAATATATTGACATATATTTGAAATGCTACAATTTTTGGCCGTATTCTATATAATTTCAAAATATTACTCAATATATATATATATACTGTATGTTGAAATTAATTTTTTATATATTACAAAATATATGAAAAATACTTTTAAAAATAGATTTTTTAATTCTTCAGATTTTTTTTTTACATATAAAAGTATTTTTAACATATATTTTGAGCACATATATTTGTAAATGCATTCCAATAATGTAGATTTGTATTTTTAAAGACATGCAGTATATTTGAAAATGTATTTTTAAAAATATTTTTCATATATTTTGTAATAAAAACTAATTTCAACATACCGTGTATATATATATATTTTTTTATATTGAAATATATTTTGAAATGTATTGAATACGGTCAAAATTGTAGAATTTCAAATATATATTAATATATTTGGGAAGAATATTTGAAAAATATATTTCATATATATTTTTCTTCTTCCATGTGGGAAAGGTAGATGAATTACTTCCTGGAACCCATCTGCCCTAAGCTCAGGCACTCAAACAGGAGGGTGTGCTTAGCTGCGAAAGCTCCTCCTATCAAGACTCCCGGGATGTATGACATCATTTTGTTCTATGCCAGAAACCAGGAAGACCTTCCTATCTATTTGCTAGTACTAGCCTTACCCCCTCTGGGTGATCGATGCACATTGGGGGACCCCTGTGGGTGATCGATGAACATTGGGGGACCCCTTTGGGTGATCGATGCACATTGGGGGGACCCCTTTGGGTGATCTATACACATTGGGGGAACCCTTTGGGTGATCAATGCACATTGGGGGGACCCCTCTGGGTGATCTATGCACATTGGGGGACCCCTCTGGGTGATCTATGCACATTGGGGGGACCCCTTTGGGTGATCAATCCAACACATTGGGGGGACCCCTTTGGGTGATCGATACACATTGAGGGAACCCTTTGGGTGATCTATGCACATTGGGGGACCCCTTTGGGTGATCGATGTACATTGGGGGGACCCTTTTGGGTGATCGATGCACATATGGGGACCCCTCTAGGTGATCTATACACATTACAGAGATCGTAACAAACTTTGTAGCAGATTCCGACCTTCTGTTGTTCTGAAGAAATATCTGTTTGTGTCTCTGTGTCCTGTGCAGAGTGACTGTGAATGGGAGCGACTTTATCATCATCAATCAGCTGCTGCACCTGCGGGGCTCTCATGAGGACAGCGGCAGGGTCTGCATCCCTTTAGACGATTTTTGCCCCCTTTGGGAGTATCTCACCAAAAATGACATTTTTGTTGCAGGGAGGCCAAAATCTGACTTGTATCTTAGTGCAGAAAATCAGTGAGCCAATCACACAAGCAGGAAATGACATTTATTGGGGGCAGTCCATATTTAATATTCACTAGTAGGTCCATAGAGAACGCCTCCAGGCGGCCATATTGCATCTTACAGAAAATGACAGCAGCTGCAGATTGAAAAGGAAAGGAAACTTAATAATTTTCAATTACATTGTGTCACAACTGTATACGCTGCATTTTTATTACTATTATTTTTTATATTTTTTTAATTGGCTATAATTTTTGGAGTTACCCTTTAACCACTTGCCCCCCAGGCACTTATACCCCCTTCCTTACCAGGCCAATTTTTTTTTCAGCGCTGCCGCACTTTGATTGACAATTGCGCGGTCATGCAACATTGTACCCATATGAAATTTTGATCATTTTTTTTCTACAAATAGAGCTTTCTTTTGGGTGGTATTTAATCGCCACTGGGCGCTTTACTTTTTGCGCTATAAATTAAAAAAAGTGCAAAAAATTTGAAAAAAAAAAAAAAAGTTTATTTTGTTTCTTTTATAAAATTTTTCAAACAGGTATTTTTTCTCCTTCACTGATTTGCGTTGATGAGGCGGCACTGATGGGCACTGATAGCGGCACTGATGGGCACTGATAGGCAGCACTAAAGGGCACTGATAGGCAGTACTAATGAGGTGGCACGGATAGGCGGCACTGATAGACAGCACTAATTAGGGGTCACGGATAGACGGCACTGATATGCAGCACTGATAGGCGGCACTGATAGGTGACACTGATGATGGGTACTGATAGACGGCACTGACTGGCATCACATTCTGGGCACTGACTGGCGGCACTGACTGGCACAACCCCTTTGGGCACTGACTGGTGGCACTGGGTGGCAGCACTGGTGGGTGGCACTCTGGGTGGCACATTGGTGGACAGCACTGGTGGGTGGGCACACATTGGGTGGCACTGGTGGGCACAGGTGGGTGGCGCTGGTGGGCACAGGTGGGTGGGCACAGGTGGGTGGCACTGCTGGGCACATGTAGGTGGCACTGCTGGGCACAGGTAGGTGGCACTGTGAGAGTGGCACAGGTGGGGGCACTGCTGGGCACAGGTGGGGGCACTGCTGGGCACAGGTGGGGGGCACCGCTGGGAATGGGTGGGCGGGGCTAGTGGGCGCACAGCTGATCGGAACTTGCAGGGACTGTCTGGAGCTGACTGGGCACCCGATCAATCAGGGCACTGATCATCAGTGCCCTGATGATCGGTGCCGATCCCCGCTCTGACAACTGCCGGTTCTCGGCAGTACTTTCTCACGATCTGACAGCGTGAGGAAAGTGCAGCCGAGAAACCGGCACTTGCATTTTCCTGTGATCAGCGTGTCATTGGACACCGCTGATCACGCAGGTAAAAGGCCGGTGGGATCGGCCTTTCACCACATTCGTGATATTCACTGTGTCCGTAGGACACAGCGATCACGGAGATCGCCGGGTGCGCGCCCCTGGGGCGCGAAAAGGAGAGCTGCAGTTCTGGGAGGAAACTTAACATTTTCATATGACGTCCACTCAGAACTGGCCGGCCGCGGTGAAGCCGTCATTCAGCTAATGGCGGTCGGCAAGTGGTTAAAAATGTGTGTTTGAGTCAAATTTTAAAAAAAGAAAAAAAAAGCTACAAAGTAACAGAAAAGTTTTCCTTTCCGTCCTCCTTCCTGTGTTTGTTGCCGTTTAATTGTGCGCATCGCTTTGCCGCCTTGTTGGGGAGTCCATTACCGATGAATAATAATACAATTAATAATGGTCTGTCGGTGGATGACAGCGGTCCTATTGCTCGGGGAAAAAAAAAAAAACGATTCTGCCTTTAATTAAAATCTTGTTTAAAGGTAACCAACCAGAAAAACAGAATCTCTTCCTTTTTAATTGCTTGGAACAAAGAGATCCTTTTGGCTTCAAGCTTTGCCGTCCTCGTGTTGGTTTACAAAGTGTCAGAGAATGGCGGAGACGAGTTTCCAGAGTGTGAAGACGCCTCCAATGTGACCCCCGATGTACTAGGCTGAGCCGGCGAATTACAGGCAGGCGGCTGAAAATAACTGCGTTCTCCGTGCGGCTGTAATGACTCGTCTGGACCTTGTTATAGTCGACATTTTAGTTGATTATCTCCCGGGTGATAAATATGCTTTTGGCTTTGTTTCAACTTTCATCTGTGACAAGAAACTGGAGGACCAAACGTTTTGAGGAATAGAATACGCAGCTGGATGGACTGCAGGCGACTCGAAGGCGCAAAGTGGAGTCACATGACAAAAAAACACGCCGCATGTGAATCATACCTCTCATTGTATTTAATGCGGCTGAGATGAAAAATGAACAAAGCATATCCCTCTATAGTGTGCACTTGCCTCAATCCAAAGCACTGAGTGTGATTTCTGTCTGCTTCCTCCTTACTGTATATAGCGCTGGTAATATACGCAGCACTTTACATATATAGTACATTGTACATTCACAGCAGTCTCTGACCCTCAAGGGGTGTAAAATCTAAGGTCCCTAACCAGGGGCAGACTGACCATTCAAGCACTTAGGCACTGCCCAAGGTCAGTAGGGGGCCCCATGAAATTCCCCTGGTACCTTTTATAGACTTTTTTGGGTGTGCTTTGAGTGTGGGCTTGGACACAGGGGCCCTATGATCCCCTATTGCCCGGGGGCCCCATGAGCTGTCAGTCTACCCCTGTCCCTAACTCACATCCATACATACACATACTGGGGTCAATTTAGACAGGAGCCAATTAACCTTCCAGCATGTCTTTGGAGGGTGGTAGGAAACCAGAGTACCTGGAGGAAACCCACGCAGGCACAGGGAGAATATGCAAACTCCAGGCAGGTGGTGCCGTGTCTGGGATTTGAACCAATGACCCGAGTACTGCCAGACGGAAGTGTTAATCATTTACCGCTGTGCTGCCCACTCCTCTGCTATAAGTGAGACACTTCTGACAGCCAACACCAGACAATCTTGAGATGCCCCCCTCCCCCCCCCCCTGCACACAGCAAGTGACTGACAGCCTGAGATGTGCATGTTTCCCTATGAGAATGTGTAGGGGTGTGTGTCCATTCCCTGCACTCAAGAGTCAAATTACACTCAGCTCTCTGCTTCATGCTGTTCAGTGTTTTACATCAGATCCGCCTGACTTCTGGAGATGAGAAATGCTACATAAATTCTGGACTTTGAATGGCTGTAGAGGGAATAGGGCTCCAGATAAACAGGTACAACTTATGTAGGAGGATATGTTTAATCTCAGTGCATCACCCAAGGCCCATCACTCCGTCTTCACTATAGAAGAAGAGTTACTATAGAAGAAGGGTTACTATAGAGCAGTGTTTCTCAACTCCAGTCCTCATGGACCCCCAACAGGTCATGTTTTCAGGATTTCCATTATTTTGCACAGGTGATTTGATCAGTTTCACTGCCTTAGTAATTACCACAGCTGTTTCATCTGAGGGAAATCCTGAAAACATGACCTGTTGGGGGTCCATGAGGAGTGGAGTTTAGAACCAGTGCTATAGAGCAAGAGTTACTATAGAGGAAGGGTTACTATAGAGGAAGGGTTACTATAGAGGAAGGTTACTATAGAGGAAGAGTTACTATAGAGGAAGGGTTACTATAGAGGAAGGGTTACTATAGAGGAAGAGTTACTATAGAGGAAGGGGTTACTATAGAGGAAGAGTTACTATAGAGGAGGGTTACTATAGAGGAAGGGTTACTATAGAGGAAGGGTTACTATAGAGGTTACTATAGAGGAAGGGTTACTATAGAGGAAGAGGTTACTATAGAGGAAGAGTTACTATAGAGGAAGGGTTACTATAGAGGAAGGGTTACTATAGAGGAAGAGTTACTATAGAGGAAGGGTTACTATAGAGGAAGGGTTACTATAGAGGAAGGGTTACTATAGAGGAAGGGTTTACTATAGAGGAAGAGTTACTATAGAGGAAGAGTTACTATAGAGGAAGGGTTACTATAGAGGAATGGGTACTACTATAGAGGAAGAGTTACTATAGAGGAAGGGTTACTATAGAGGAAGGGTTACTATAGAGGAAGGGTTACTATAGAGGAAGAGTTAGTGTAGAGGACGGGTTACTATAGAGGAAGGGTTACTATAGAGAAGGGTTACTATAGAGGAAGGGTTTACTGTAGAGGAAGGGTTACTATAGAGGAAGGGTTACTATAGAGGAAGAGTTACTATAGAGGAAGGGTTACTATAGAGGAAGAGGTACTATAGAGGAAGGGTTATTATAGAGGGAGATTTACTATAGAGGAAGGGTTACTATAGAGGAAGGGTTACTATAGAGGAAGAGTTACTATAGAGGAAGAGTTACTATAGAGGAAGGGTTACTATAGAGGAAGGGTTACTATAGAGGAAGGGTTACTATAGAGGAAGGGTTACTATAGAGGAAGGTTACTATAGAGGAAGGGTTACTATAGAGGAAGGGTTACTATAGAGGAAGGGTTACTATATAGAGTAGGGGTTACTATAGAGGAAGAGTTACTATAGAGGAAGGGTTACTATAGAGAGGGGTTACTATAGAGGAAGAGTTACTATAGAGGAGGGGTTACTATAGAGGAAGAGTTACTATAGAGGAAGGGTTACTATAGAGGAGGGGTTACTATAGAGGAAGAGTTACTATAGAGGAAGGGTTACTATAGAGGAAGGGTTACTATAGAGGAAGAGTTACTATAGAGGAAGGGTTACTATAGAGGGAGAGTTACTATAGAAGAGCTACCATCACTTACCTGCTATACCTGCTGCCACTCACTTCCAAGCTCCTTGAGCGCTTGGTCTTCGATCGCCTAAGCGCCCACCTAGCTGACAACAACCTCCTTGACCCACTACAGTCCGGGTTCCGTTACACTCCACCGAAACTGCCCTCCTCAAAATCACCAACGATCTACTAACCGCCAAAGCCAAGGCGACTACTCTGTCCTCCTCCTTCTGGACCTCTCCGTTACTGTAGCCTTTACTACACAGTCGACCACCCCCTCCTCCTTAATAAACTACTCTCCCTTGGCATCAGAGACACCGCTCTCTCCTGGTTCTCGTCCTATCTATCCCAACGCTCCTTCAGCGTTTCCTACAACGGTGCCACCTCCTCTTCACTCCCCCTCTCTGTTGGGGTCCCCCAGGGCTCTGTCCTTGGACCCCTTCTCTTCTCCATCTACTACACCTCCTCCCTTGGCAAACTCATACACTCCCACGGCTTCAACTACCACCTCTATGCTGATGATACTCAAATCTACCTTTCCACCCCTCACCTCACCCCCACATTGTCCGCCCGCATCACGCACCTCCTAAACGACATCTCTGACTGGATGTCGCTCACTTTAGAAAGAGTTAACCTCTCCAAAACCGAGCTTCTCATCTTCCCCCCAGCCCGCGCCCCCCCCCATCCTTTCCATCACTACCAACAACACCACTCATCCCGCCCAGCAGGCCAAGGTCCTTGGCGTCATGGACTCAAACCTTTCCTTTCAACCTACATATCAAATCTCTCACAAACACATGCAGGCTCCACCTCCGGAACATCTCCAAGATACGCTCCTTCCTTACCCCAGACAGGTTACTAAACTACTAGTACACTCCCTGATTATATCAGCCTGGACTACTGCAACTCCCTCCTCACCGGCCTACCCAATGCAGGCTCTCCCCGCTTCAGACCATCCTGAACTCAGCGGCCAGACTCATCCACCTCACCACAGCCGCTCCACCTCTGCCACCCCCCTCTGCCTCTCCTCCACTGGCTCCCCATTGCCCAACGCATTAAATTCAAATTGCTCACCCTGACCTATAAGGCCATTCACAACACTGCCCCTAACTACCTCACCGATCTGATTCCCAGGTACCACCCTACCCGTACCCTTCGCTCTTCACAAGACCTCCTTCTATCTTGCTCCCTGGTCTCCTCCTCCACGCACGACTGCAAGACTTCTCCAGGTCCTCCCCCCATCCTCGGGAACTCACTACCCCAATCCATCAGACTGTCACGTCCCTCCTCACCTTCAGGCGCTCCCTGAAAACCCACCTCTTCAGGGAAGCCTACCCCACCCTCACCTAACAGCCGCTGCCCTTCCCTCCTCCTACCACTCCATCCCCACAGCCGTTTCCTCCTGTGCCTCTACCCCTCCCTCCTAGATTGTAAGCTCGAAAGAGTAGGGCCCTCTTACCCCTTGTGTACTGTTTGATGTTACTGTTCTGTTTCATGTATTGTCCCCCCTCTACTGTACAGCGCTGAGCAAACCCTTTGGCGCTATATAAACTCGATAAATAAATAAATAATAAATAAGAGGAAGAGTTACTATAGAGGAAGAGTTTACTATAGAGGAAGGGTTACTATAGAGGAAGGGTTACTATAGAGGAAGGGTTACTATAGAGGAAGAGTTACTATAGAGCAGTGTTTCATCTGAGGGAAATCCTGAAAACATGACCTGTTAGGGGGTCCATGAGGACTGGAGTTGAGAAAACACAGCTATAGAGGAAGGGTTACTATAGGAAGGGTTACTATAGAGGAAGTTTTACTATAGAGGAAGAGTTACTATAGAGGAAGGGTTACTATAGAGGAAGAGTTACTATAGAGGAAGAGTTACTATAGAGGAAGGGTTACTATAGAGGAGGAGTTACTATAGAGGAAGGGTTACTATAGAGGAAGGGTTACTATAGAGGAGGGGTTACTATAGAGGAAGAGTTACTATAGAGGAAGGGTTACTTTAGAGGAAGGGTTACTTTAGAGGAAGAGTTACTATAGAGGAGGATTTACTAGAAGGAGAGTTATTACAGAGGGAGAGTTACTATAGAGGAAGGGTTACTATAGAGCAGTGTTTCTCAATTCCAGTCCTCATGGACCCCGAACAGGTCATGTTTTCAGGATTTCCATTATTTTGCACAGGTGATTTGATCAGTTTCACTGCCTTAGTAATTACCACAGCTGTTTATCTGAGAGAAATCCTGAAAACATGACCTGTTGGGGGTCCTATGAGGAGTGGAGTTTAGAACCAGTGCTATAGAGCAAGAGGTTACTATAGAGGAAGGAGTTACTATAGAGGAAGGGTTACTATAGAGGAAGAGTTACTATAGAGGAAGAGTTACTATAGAGAAAGGGTTACTATAGAGGAAGGGTTACTATAGAGGAAGGGTTACTATAGAGGAAGAGTTACTGTAGAGGAAGGGTTACTATAGAGGAAGGGTTACTATAGAGTAAAGGTTACTATAGAGGAAGGGTTACTATAGAGGAAGAGTTACTGTAGAGGAAGAGTTACTGTAGAGGAAGAGGTTACTATAGAGGAAGGGTTACTATAGAGGAAGGGTTACTATAGAGGAATGGTTACTATAGAGGAAGGGTTACTATAGAGGAATGGTTACTATAGAGGAAGAGTTACTATAGAGGAACGGTTACTATAGAGGAAGAGTTACTATAGAGGAAGAGTTACTATAGAGGAAGGGTTACTATAGAGAAGGGGTTACTATAGAGGAAGGGTTACTATAGAGGAAGAGTTACTATAGAAGAAGGGTTACTATAGAGGAAGAGTTACTATAGAGGAAGGGTTACTATAGAGGAAGGGTTACTATAGAGGAAGGGTTACTATAGAGGGAGAGTTACTATAGAGGAAGAGTTACTATAGAGGAAGGTTACTATAGAGGAAGGGTTACTATAGAGGAAGAGTTACTATAGAGGAAGGGTTACTATAGAGGAAGGGTTACTATAGAGGAAGGGTTACTGTAGAGGAAGAGTTACTATAGAGGAAGAGTTACTGTAGAGGAAGAGTTACTATAGAGGAAGGTTACTATAGAGGAAGGGTTACTATAGAGGAAGGGTTACTATAGAGGAAGGGTTACTATAGAGGGAGAGTTACTATAGAGGAAGAGTTACTATAGAGGAAGAGTTACTATAGAGGAAGAGTTACTATAGAGGAAGAGTTACTATAGAGGAGGGTTACTATAGAGGAAGGGTTACTATAGAGGAAGAGTCACTATAGAGGAAGGGTTACTATAGAGGAAGAGTTACTATAGAGGAAGGGTTACTATAGAGGAAGAGTTACTATACAGGAAGAGTTACTGTAGAATGAAGGTTGGGGTTACTATAGAGGAAGGGTTACTATAGAGGAGGAGTTACTATAGAGGAAGGGAAGGGTTACTATAGAGGAAGAGTTACTATAGAGGAAGGGTTACTATAGAAGAAGGGTTACTATAGAGGAAGGGTTACTATAGAGGAAGAGTTTACTATAGAGGGAGAGTTACTATAGAGGAAGGGTTACTATAGAGGAAGGGTTATTATATAGAGGAAGGGTTACTATAGAGGAAGAGTTACTATAGAGGAAGGGTTTACTATAGAGGAAGGGTTACTGTAGAAGAAGGGTTACTATAGAGGAAGGGTTACTATAGAGGAAGAGTTACTATAGAAGAAGGGTTACTATAGAGGAAGGGTTACTGTAGAGGAAGGGTTACTATAGAGGAAGGGTTACTATAGAGGAAGAGTTACTATAGAGGAAGGGTTACTATAGAGGAAGAGAGAGGTACTATAGAGGAAGTGTTACTATAGAGGAAGGGTTACTATAGAGGAAGGGTTACTATAGAGGAGGGGTTACAGTTTTACTATAGAGGAGGGGTTACTATAGAGGAAGAGTTACTATAGAGGAGGGTTACTATAGAGGAAGAGTTACTATAGAGGAAGGGTGGTTACTATAGAGGAGGGGTTACTATAGAGGAAGAGTTACTATAGAGGAAGGGTTTACTATAGAGGAAGGGTTACTATAGAGGAAGAGTTACTATAGAGGGAGAGTTACTATAGAAGAAGGGTTACTATAGAGGAAGAGTTACTATAGAGGAAGGGTTACTATAGAGGGAGAGTTACTATAGAAGAGGAGTTACTATAGAGGAAGGGTTACTATAGAGGAACTGTTACTATAGAGGAACTGTTACTATAGAGGAAGGGGTTACTATAGAGGAAGGGTTACTATAGAGGAGGAGTTACTATAGAGGGAGGGTTACTATAGAGGAAGGGTTACTATAGAGGAAGAGTTACTATAGAGCAGTGTTTCATCTGAGGGAAATCCTGAAAACATGACCTGTTGGGGGTTCCATGAGGACTGGAGTTGAGAAACACAGCTATAGAGGAAGGGTTACTATAGAGGAAGGGTTACTATAGAGGAAGGGTTACTATAGAGGAAGTTTTACTATAGAGGAAGTTTTACTATAGAGGAGGGTTACTATAGAGGAAGAGTTACTATAGAGGAAGAGTTACTATAGAGGAAGGATTACTATACAGGAAGAGTTACTATAGAGGAAGGGTTAAATAGAGGAAGGGTTACTATAGAGGAAGGGTTACTATAGAGGAAAGAGTTACTATAGAGGAAGAGTTACTATAGAGGAATAGTTACTAAATAGAGTTACTATAGAGGAGAGGTTATTATATAGAGGAGAGAGTTACTATAGAGGAAGAGTTACTATAGAGGAAGGGTTACTATAGAGGAAGGGTTACTATAGAGGAAGGGTTACTTTAGAGGAAGAGTTACTATAGAGGAGGATTTACTATAGAGGAGAGTTATTACAGAGGAAGAGTTACTATAGAGGAAGGGTTACTATAGAGCAGTGACATTTTCTCAATTCCAGTCCTCATGGACCCCGAACAGGTCATGTTTTCAGGATTTCCATTATTTTGCACAGGTGATTTGATCAGTTTCACTATGCCTTAGTAATTACCACAGCTGTTTCATCTGAGAGAAATCCTGAAAACATGACCTGTTGGGGGTCCATGAGGAGTGGAGTTTAGAACCAGTGCTATAGAGCAAGATTTACTATAGAGGAAGGGTTACTGTAGAGGAAGAGTTACTATAGAGGAAGAGTTTACTATAGAGAAAGGGTTACTATAGAGGAAGGGTTACTATAGAGGAAGAGTTACTGTAGAGGAAGGGTTACTATAGAGGAAGAGTTACTATAGAGGAAGAGTTACTATAGAGGAGGAGTTACTATAGAGGAAGGGTTACTATAGAGGAAGGGTTACTATAGAGGAAAGGTTACTATAGAGGCAGGGTTACTATAGAGGAAGAGTTACTGTAGAGGAAGAGTTACTGTAGAGGAAGAGTTACTATAGAGGAAGGGTTACTATAGAGGAAGGGTTACTATAGAGGGAAGGGTTACTATAGAGGAAGAGTTACTATAGAGGAAGGGTTACTATAGAGGAAGGGTTACTATAGAGGAAGAGTTACTATAGAGGAAGGGTTACTATAGAGAATGTTACTATAGAGGAAGGGTTACTATAGAGGAAGGGTTACTATAGAGGAAGGGTTACTATAGAGGAAGGGTTACTATAGAGGAAGGGTTACTATAGGAGGAAGGGTTACTATAGAGGAAGAGTTACTATAGAGGGAGAGTTACTATAGAGGAAGAGAGTTACTATAGAGGAAGAGTTACTATAGAGGAAGGGTTACTATAGAGGAAGAGTTACTATAGAGGAAGGGTTACTATAGAGGAAGGGTTACTATAGAGGAAGGGTTACTATAGAGGAAGGGTTACTATAGAGGAAGAGTTACTATAGAGGAAGAGTTACTATAGAGCAGTGATGGCGAACCTATGGCACGCAGAGCCATCTCAGTGGGGGTTTTTCCAGGAAGAAGAGGAAGAATGCGCTATCCTGCGCACCCCCAGGGGGGCGCGCACTGGGCTATGTCCGTAATCGCTGTGTCCTACGGACACAGCTATCACGTAACGTGGGTAAAAGGCCAATCACAGCGGCCTTTTACCACGTGATCAGCCATGTCCAATGACACGCTGATCACCGGGAAATGCAAATGCCGGTTCTCGGCTGCACTTTCCTCACGCTTTCAGATCGTGAGGAAAGTACTGCCGAGAACCGGCAGTTGTCAGAGCAGGGAACGGCACCGATCATTAGGGTCACTGATCATCAGTGCCCTGATGATCGGTGCCCCAGCAGTGCCACACACAAGTTCTGCCCACCTGTGCCCAGCAATGCACCCACCTGTGCCCAGCAGTGCCACCCACCAGTGCTCAGTAATGCACCCACCTGTGCCCAGAAGTGCACCACCTGTGACCTGTGCCAACCCACCTGTGCCCACCAGTGCCACCCACCTGTGCCCACCAGTGCCACCCACCAGTGCTCATCAGTGCAGCCCAGCAGTACTGCCAGTCAGTGTCACCAGTCAGTGCCCAGCGGTTTTGCCAGTCAGTGCCCAGCAGTGATGTCAGTCAGTGCCACCTATCAGTGCTGTCTATCAGTACCCATGATCAGTGTCGCCTATCAGTGCCACCAATCAGTGCCACATATCAGTGCCACCTGTGACACCTCATTAGTGCTGCCCATCAGTGCCACCCATCAATGATGCCCAGCAGTGCCGCGGTCAGTGCCGTCTGTCAGTGCCTCCAGTTGGTGCTATCAGTCAGTGTCGCTTATCAGTGCCCATCATTTCCTGCATATCAGGGTGCATCATCAGTGCCTCCTCATCAATGCTCACCAGTGCCGCCTCATCAGTGCTACCTATCTGTGCCGCCTCATCAATGCCCATCAGTGCTGCCTATCAGTGCAGCCTCACCAATGCAGATCAAAGAAGAAATATTACCTGTTTGCAAAATTTTAGAATAGAAGCAAAGGAAACCTTTTATGTTTTTAATTTGTTGCTCTTTTTCATTTATAGTGCAAAAAATAAAACACCCAGTGGTGATTAAATACCACCAAAAAAAGCTCTATTTGTGTGAAAAAATGATAAAAATTGCATATGGTTACAGTGTTGCATGACCGCACACAATTGTCATTGTTAAGTGCAACAGCACTGAAAGCTGAAAATTGTCCTGGGCAGGAAGGGGGGGTAGAAGTGCCCTGTAGGCAGGAAGGGGGTAGAAGTGCCCGGTAGGCAGGAAGGGGGTAGAAGTGCCCTGTAGGCAGCAAGTGATTAAGTTCCAGTGTAGGCACTTTGAAATAAAAAAGTTGGTCTTGTAGTTGCAGGTTTGGGGGCCATAAAAGTTCGCCATCACTGCATAAGTGGGTGGTAGAGTTACTATAGAAGTTACTATAGGAGGAAGGGTTACTATAGAGGAAGGGTACTATAGAGGAAGTTACTATAGAGGCAAGTGAGGTTACTATCCAGAGGAGTTACTATAGAGGAAAAGTTGGTCTATAGTGGAGCAGTTTATAGAGGCAGGGTTACTAAAAAGGTTTGCCATCACTGCTATAGAGGAAGGGTTACTATAGAGGAAGAGTTACTATAGAGGAAGGAGTTACTATAGAGGAAGGGTTACTATAGAGGAAGAGTTACTATAGAGGAAGGTTACTATAGAGGAAGAGTTACTATAGAGGAAGGGTTACTATAGAGGAAGAGTTACTATAGAGGAGGGTTACTATAGAGGAAGAGTTACTATAGAGGAAGAATTACTATAGAGGAAGAGGTTACTATAGAGGAAGAGTTACTATAGAGGAAGGGTTACTATAGAGGAAGGGTTACTATAGAGGAAGGGTTACTATAGAGGAAGGTTACTATAGAGGAAGGGTTACTATAGAGGAAGAGTTACTATAGAGGGAGGGGTTACTATAGAGGAAGGGTTACTATAGAGGAAGAGTTACTATAGAGGAAGGGTTACTATAGAGGAAGAGTTACTATAGAGGAAGGGTTACTATAGAGGAAGGGTTACTATAGAGGAGGAGTTACTATAGAGGAAGAGTTACTATAGAGGGAGGGTTACTATAGAGGAAGGGTTACTATAGAGGAAGGGTTACTATAGAGAGGAAGAGTTACTATAGAGGGAGGGTTACTATAGAGGAAGGGTTACTATAGAGGAAGGGTTACTATAGAGGAAGAGTTACTATAGAGGAAGAGTTACTATAGAGGAAGGGTTACTATAGAGGAAGAGTTACTATAGAGGAAGGGTTACTATAGAGGAAGGGTTACTATAGAGGAAGGGTTACTATAGAGGAAGAGTTACTATAGAGGAAGAGTTACTATAGAGGAAGGTTACTATAGAGGAAGAGTTACTATAGAGGAGGAGTTACTATAGAGGAAGGGAGTTACTATAGAGGAAGGGTTACTATAGAGGAAGGGTTACTATAGAGGAAGGGTTACTATAGAGGAAGGGTTACTATAGAGGAAGAGTTACTATAGAGGAAGAGTTACTATAGAGGAAGGGTTACTATAGAGGAAGGGTTACTATAGAGGAAGGGTTACTATAGAGGAAGGGTTACTATAGAGGAAGAGTTACTATAGAGGAGGGTTACTATAGAGGAAGGGTTACTATAGAGGAAGGGTTACTATAGAGGAAGAGTTACTATAGAGGAAGAGTTACTATAGAGGAGAGAGTTACTATAGAGGAAGGGTTACTATAGAGGAAGGGTTACTATAGAGGAAGGTTACTATAGAGGAAGGGTTACTATAGAGGAAGAGTTACTATATAGAGGAAGGGTTACTATAGAGGAAGGGTTACTATAGAGGAGGAGTTACTATAGAGGAAGGGTTACTATAGAGGAAGAGTTACTATAGAGGAAGGAGTTACTATAGAGGAAGAGTTACTATAGAGGTGGAGTTACTATAGAGGAAGGGTTACTATAGAGGAAGGGTTACTATAGAGGAGGAGTTACTATAGAGGAAGGGTTACTATAGAGGAAGGGTTACTATAGAGGAAGAGTTACTATAGAGGAAGAGTTACTATAGAGGAAGGGTTACTATAGAGGAAGGGTTACTATAGAGGAAGAGTTACTATAGAGGACGAGGAGTTACTATAGAGGAAGAGTTACTATAGAGGAAGGGTTACTATAGAGGAAGGGTTACTATAGAGGAAGAGTTACTATAGAGGAAGAGTTACTATAGAGGAAGGAGTTACTACTATAGAGGAAGAGTTACTATAGAGGAAGGGTTACTATAGAGGAAGAGTTACTATAGAGGAAGGGTTACTATAGAGGAAGGGTTACTATAGAGGAAGAGTTACTATAGAGGAAGAGTTACTATAGAGGAAGGGTTACTATAGAGGAAGGGTTACTATAGAGGAGGGTTACTATAGAGGAAGGGTTACTATAGAGGAAGGGTTACTATAGAGGAAGGGTTACTATAGAGGAAGAGTTACTATAGAGGAAGAGTTACTATAGAGGAGAGGAGAGTTACTATAGAGGAAGGGTTACTATAGAGGAAGAGTTACTATAGAGGAGGGTTACTATAGAAGGAGAGTTGTTACAGAGGAAGAGTTACTCTACCGTTTTGTAACATTTGAGCGACTCATGAAAGTTAAAAAAGCGATTCCAACTTTTGCTTTGCTTTCAGTACGGCCCTCATTGTAAAAGAAGATGAATTATGAAATGTACAAAGTATAATCACTAAATAAAAACATGTCGGTTTGAATGCCCAAAAGACATGAAATCCATCAACTCTCTGAACATTACAGAGGACCTGAACACTTGCTGTTGTCAGCACATTCTCTTCCCATGGCACGCTGATATTTTGCTCATGGAAAACCTGACACTCTTCAAGTTGACATAATGATCCTATAATGAGAATCATTTTCGAAGCGAAGTGAAGGGAACATTAGCTCTGACTTAGAAAACTTCCAAGCCGCCTTTAAAACATCCAGAAATGATGACACCAATAAAAATCAGGAGTGCCCATAAGTGTGTCCATTACAAGGCACTACAAGCCATGATTAAAAGCTTAGAACCACTCCCTGATTTTAAGAGACGTAATAGAGATTGGATTATTTTCAGATACTTTGATGGAAGTGTTCTTCTCTGGTAATGGCTGTTCTCTCGCACTTTCATCTTTATACACAAAGCATGTCAAGTGGTTTATTTAGCCAGAATGTTCTGGTTTTAAAGTGCAAAAAGTAGATACAATTAGTAAGATATTCAAACACTGTAGCTGTGCTAAAATCAGACATTTTGCTCAGTCTATCTGCACCGAGGTTCTCTGGAACTTACGACAGGATCCAGAGAGAACCTCACAGGGGCATTGGATGCTTCCATCTTGAGGAAGCTTCCATTGTCACCAGTCGATTTAAAACTTCCAAGTGCAGAGTCCTTGTCCTAACTTAGTGCTGCTGGAATGTTGCCAACCTCAGCCTGAATATATAGTTCTGCTTTCTGTAGGTTTTTCACTATGTTACTGTTATTGTTTGTTTTTGCCTTCTGCCGGGGATGTCTCTATGTCCCGGTCAGGGGTCAGGCTTGGAGATTAGTAGCTATAACAGTAGAGAAGCTCCCACCAACCAGCAGGACAAGCAGGTCACCCTGGCAAATGGTGTGGGCTCACCTGAGGTGAAGGGTCTAAGCACTAACTGGTGTTTACCAGAGGTCCTGATACCATCCTACCTTGTGCCTTGTGGGGATGGGTTTTCCGGTCATGGTCCACCAGGAGGTGAGCAGGCCGGCGTCCAGTAGCAGATATAGCAGGTAGGGATCAAGCAGAAGAGTAGTCAGTAAACAAGCTGAAGGTCGATAACAAGTGGTTGCAGGTAGGGATCAAGCAGAAGCGTAGTCAGTAAACAAGCTGAAGGTCGATAACAAGTGGTTGCAGGTAGGGATCAAGCAGAAGCATAGTCAGTAAACAAGCTGAAGGTCGATAACAAGTGGTTGCAGGTAGGGATCAAGCAGAAGCATAGTCAATAAACAAGCTGAAGGTCGATAACAAGTAGTTGCAGGTAGGGATCAAGCGGAAGCGTAGTCAGTAAACAAGCCGAAGGTCGATAACAAGTGGTTGCAGGTAGGGATCAAGCAGAAGCGTAGTCAGTAAACAAGCTGAAGGTCGATAACAAGTGGTTGCAGGTAGGGATCAAGCAGAAGCATAGTCAATAAACAAGCTGAAGGTCGATAACAAGTAGTTGCAGGTAGGGATCAAGCGGAAGTCAGTAAACAAGCCGAAGGTCGATCAGTGCAGGTAGGGACAAGTCCGAAGGTCGATAACAAGTGGTTGCAGGTAGGGATCAAGCGGAAGCGTAGTCAGTAAACAAGCGAAGGTCGATAACGCAAGGTCGATAACAAGTGAAGGTTGCAGGTTAGGGATCAAGCAGAAGCGTAGTCAGTAAACAAGCTGAAGGTCGATAACAAGTGGTTGCAGGTAGAAGCAGAAGTAGTCAGTAAACAAGCCGAAGGTCGATAACAAGTGGTTGCAGGG